CAAATGCTGTCATGTGTTTGCAACTTTTCAAACCTTGCCTGGGCTTGCTTTTACCGTGTTTTTTGCAGCCGTACCAAAAAGCCGCAAATGTCTAATTTCCGTGCTCGTAGCCTTTCCAAAGCCAAAAATGCTGTAGTTTACAATATTCGTAAGCTTCAAGAACTCCACAAATGTCCATGAACTTGCAATATTTATAGAGTCGCCAACTGCTGCAATTTTAAAATGCTCGTCGCCAAACAGGATCCGCAAATACTATAATTTGCTGTCTTCATGGTTTTCATGAGCTGCTAAAGCTGCATTTGTTCATACCCGAAGCCTGTCAAAAGCTCCAAATGCTGTAACTATAGTTTACAACATTTGCAATCTTTCGAAACCACAAATGCTGCATATTCGAGGCGCCTTGCAAGAACTCGACATGCTGGAATTTACAATAGTCTCGAGCCAGAGGACCCGGGGACCAGAGCACCACAGTACCAAAACATATATATATATATATTCAAAAAACCTCCAAGAAGAGAAGTCCGGGAGAAAAAAAAAAGGATCAAGCAGCTGATTCCGCCAAGGCGCCATGCACGCGGCTCTCTCACGCACCTGCGACCATCCAGAACTTCGGCTGTACCATGATCCATGCCACACAGAGGGCCTTCACGTAATGTCTGCCGGTTTGGAACACAATAGCCGACAGAACGAGGATCACTGCCAGCCTTTGCACGGTCAGTACTGGACACAGGCCACGTGCTCTTCACACACACTGAGTCGCCAGCATGATCGATGGCAGCTCCCGCGACTGGAACCCCCACCTGGAGCTGATGCTTGCAGGTGAGTACGACACTGCTTTCATTGTGTAGCGTGTGTTGTGCGCTATCTTTGCGCGCCGCCTCTAAGAGCAGCAGTCAGGTGCCTATCCTCGAAACAACCTTGCAGGTACGCCCATGCCGGCCTGTTTCCGAGGACGGGGTCCTGGACACCAATAGCATGAGGAAAGAACCTAAAGATGTTTTGCAGACAGCTCAGGGACCTCCACCAGCATGGTGAAGATGTAGCACAGGGTCTGCACAATCGCCTTAAAGGATGTGGAATGCCTTAGTCTTCACACTTGCGCGCAATGAAGGTAAGCTCCATCACTCATCGTGAACCTTTGGCCCTGTTGGGGTGGATTGTGGTCGCAGGCTTTCGAGACCCCGGCTCTTTGGTGATCAATCCTGCAGACCATCCTGACACTCTGGGAAGTGCAGAACAAGAGCAGTATCTCGGAAGCATGATCTTCTTGCATTGGGCTGCAAGGCCTTGGATGACGTCCACCGCAATCACTAGAGCATGCCAAAGTGTCCTTCACAAGGCAATGTCTATCACTCCGCCTTCTTCCGTGTACACGGCACTGATGCGGGGCCAGGTTTCCGGCAATCTGCTGGAAGCTATATTTCCCTTGCGCTAGACAGCGCCTTCATCACCGTGCTTTGTTCCCTGACCTTTCACCCATGAACTGCCCCATGCCTCAGAGAGCCTCACAGCGACAATTCCATCTTCTTCGCAAGCATACATCAGCGAGCGCAAGGGCACCCAGTCCAGCGGCCAAACCACTCAGGAGTACTTGCCCACTTCGCGAACCAGTCCGAGAACGCATCCTCCCTTCCTTCAGAGCAAAAACTGTAAATAAAGGAAGCGCTCTGGCTGGAGAGGCTTCGGCGCGCCTATGAGAACATGGCTGATGCCCCACAGAATGAGGCTGAGGAAGAGAGCAGTGACATCGATGTGCACCTGCTGTCACTGCAGCATGATAGGAAGTTAGCTTTTGTCGACACTTCACGTGTACTATCAAAAGGAAGCAACAGGATCAGATGCTCACGTAGCCGATGACACGCCGATGACATGAAGTTTCATCATCAGGCTTTCCGTAAGACTTTAGTATCAATTTTGCCGGATACAGTGCGGCATGCCGGCATGGCTGCAAGTGTGACTTGGATGACAGGTCCGTACGTCGCTTCCCTGTCGCTTAAAATTCTTGCCAGAAACCACCTCCGCTGCGCCGACTCAAGGTGGTGCTTCTTGCAGTCGCCAGTAAATTGTGACGATTGCTGCAAGGAGCGTTGCACAGTTTGCATGGCCTTCATGATGTAGAAACGACCCTGCCACCAGGTCAATCCCCGCCTGATGCTCGCAGACTGACCATTTCTGAAGTGAGCTCACATGCCATGTAGACCCCAAGCTAAGAATCTCGGCTGCTGGCGATTTGTGCTTGTATATTCTTTCGGCAAAAATGGAGCCTGCACCAACGTCCGCAGTCTAACCCATGGGCAGAGGGAGATCACGTTGTGCCTGTGGCACTGAGGATAACGGCGCAGACCTGTCGTTCAGGACGTTCAGGACGTTCAGGACAATGCATGTCGGTTGTTGTAGCTTTCTGGGCTCAAGACAAGCAAAGAGAATCCGGCCGGAGTGAAGGATTTCTTGAGCCTGCACAAGCTGCAGTCGCACTGCAGGATACAGTATTCCAATGTCTCAGGCCCTCCTGACCAAAGGGTGGCCATCCCCTCCTCGCTCCTCTAAGTCTCGATACCTCAGGCTTGCAGGTTTCGCAGGACGCTCGCTGTTCCCGCACACATTGCACACGTTGCACGCGTTTGGCTGCATTTGGGCCGTGAGGCTGCTCTCGCAGCATCACGAAGGTAAGGACAGACATCGTCATCATGCCTAGCGTCAGCCTTGCAAAAGCAAAGAAAAGGCAACACACGGCTTTTGCCACACCATGGCAGCTACTGAGTTTATACTTTCCAAGCCAGCGGCCACTCCAACTTGCCGTAGTTGCCTGGGTATGCGCACGTGGGTGAACAGCTTCAGGCACGTTTTATCATGTTTGCTACTTTTACGCCAAGCAGCGGCTGAACACGTAGTAGCTCATAATGACGGCAAACGGAAGATACAGGTATCCAACCTCAGAAGCTCAAGCTGCATTGCCAAAGACTTCAGCATCTTGGCACGCCGCTAATCCTGTCCGAGGCACAGTTACTATCTGAACGTTGGAGGTGCCAGCCCATCGAGAGAGCGCTACCAGTGCACTGGCCTGACGAATCTCACGCTGGACATGGCTGAAAGGTTCAGCAAGGTCGACAAGTCCCGGACGCAGGTGAACAGGAAAGAGACACCCGTGAATCGCCACAGTGCTTTCCCAGAGAAGATCTTCTCGTATGCGTGGCAGCCTGCAGACTGCTCCGAAGCTAGAGCCCAAGTGGCTGTGAACAGCTGCGGCTGTGCTCCTTCAATAGTAAAGGATACCGTGAGCGAGGACAGCAGCGATGCCGCATTGGTGACAACCTGGTAGGAAAAGTAATTGATGCCTCAGTGCAGGGTCTAGCTCGGCACGGCCCAGCCCATCAGAGCATGTCAGGCTGCTGCTCTCAGTGTAAACGACTTCGCCCAGCACAAATTTGCCGGAGCCTGAAGGTTGGGTATTCCTGCTCAGCCCCTACCGCCACATACGCTGAGTTCCGGGCAGCTAAGAACAAAAACACTCAACAAGCAGACCTGTTCAAGTTCATAATGGACATGACTCTGAAAGCCAGGAGAAGTCTGGCGGGCTCACACTCTGCCAAAGTGACCATCTGGAGCTAAGCCATTGGTCAAAATACTGGCCTCAGCACGTCACGAAGCTTGGAAGGTTTGGTCCGGAGCAGGAGTCTCGCCAGCGAGGCAGCCACTTTTCTTGCGCAGTCCCGGACAGCAGGCTTGCCTTACAATCAGGTCAATTTGGATCAGCCACATGGCACTTGGGGAGATCTTGGGCAGCGGCAGTCTTCTCATTGTCTTAGAGGGAACAATCTCATCCTGAATCAGTTCCAGCATGTCGCAGAAGTGCTGATGAGGCATGAGAGCAATGCTCACCTGTGAGGTTTTTGTTTGCAACCCTCCAGCATCCCGCACTGAGCAGGTCAGGGCATTCACTCACATCAGCAAGCGCGCAGCACTCTAGGAAACAGCAGGTGAGGTTTGTGACTCACAAAGTTTGCTGGTAGCCGATTGTAGTCTTGCCTTTTGTCGACTTACATGAAACCCTCTGACGCCACCTGGGCCGCGTCCTCATCTGGGACGGTGTCGGCCATGGCGGCGGTGCCCACAAAGAGAAGAGACAAACGAACAAATGATACTTATTGCTGCGAGGGCTGGATGCTGGGTGGGATTTCCTGTCTCCCCTCAGTCCAAAAGATTTGAAGATACCAGGGAAGGCTACAAGCTTGCACTTGTGGTAGTAGCATTTCGTTTTCAGACCATGAGGGGCAAGCCAAATTGCTAGCAGCTTATTGCAAGCAGTGCACCTGGCAGAAACGTAAAAAGCTGCACAGTGAAAACTACGTCTGCAGCATGACCTCTTCAGATCGGCACGGAGCTGGAATGCTTGATTATCCTTCAATGGAGTATCAGTCTCAGCTAATCCATCTTGAACTGCCAATGAGGCGCAGCTTGGCCCATCTCACATAAGAGCACAAAGGTGTCAAGTTGCATTGCAACAAATTGCTACACAGTTGAACCGGGCTGAATGAAGCTTATAACTATGGCTCTGCGTTGTGCAAAGGGCCGCTCTGGAGTGACACTCAGGGAGACACACAGGCACTCACTGCATTGCACTGCATCGCGTGTGCATTGCGTGTATGCCAAGTGCTGCCCCTTTTCTGTTCTTATGCTCTCGTCCGCGAAAACCAACTCGCGATCAGGAGCGCCATTCGCGTCACCACACCCAAGCAACTGCCAGGCAAAGCTAAGCAGGGCAGCTAAGTGCAACAAGATGCTGAATAAGGAGATGGCAGCAACATGCCATGCCCTTCCCTCTCGCTTCTCTCCCAACAACACACACAGATGCTGTTGCAGAGGCTAGCAGCTAGGGTCTGAAGCTTTAACAGCCCAAAGACACCTAATTGCCTGAAGCCAAGCTTGCACTTGTGGATCTGCCTAGTGCGAGAGCACCAAGGCTGCCAGCCACACGCACCGCCGAATTGCAGGCAACCTCAAGAAACCGTCACTGACCGTCGAAGCCGTCACCCGCTATGGATGTACAACTTTACCTCTAGGCCATGACTGTAACATCTGTTACCTGGAATCGCTCAGGATGCCACGTCGCATGATGGAATTGTGTAGTGAGCATGGTCGCCTTAGTCTACAGATTGTCACTCTCTTGCAAGCACTTGCTGCACCAAGCAAACGCAACCGAAGCACACAGTGGTTTCCACATGGGGAGAGCTTCTGGTGCTTCGTGCGACAAGCAGTACCTGTCACGAAGCAGTTGTGCGGCTACATCACTCTGGCAACGTAAATTAGACCGCTTCAAGTTACCTGGCAAATATGCAGGACAATAGGCGTCCTCGCGGCGTTTGGGCTTGGATTCCCATCACGGTTACACAAAAATCACACAGATTTGTTATGCACTGACTGGATGATGCACTCTGCAGACTGCCGTATTTTTCAGGTGTAACTTTGGTTCTGAAGATTGGAGGATATCAATATCGCCATGTTGCTGAGGTATTGCTTGACATGGTAGGATTTGCATAGTACTTTCGTTCATGAATGTTGAATGTGGTGACGCTCCTTTGGGGACCGCACAACAAGGACGCGACAGCCTATGCCTAGCCGTAGTCTTCAGCCCACCCCTCATGTCTGAAGGCAAGAAGGTCTGTGCTCTTCGCAGTGAATAGTAAAATGTTTTCGAACCACACCTCCCGTTCTTGCGTGACCATGAAGACCTTTCTCGAGCTTTCATGATTCCAGCAGGCCCAGAACACCAAACAGAAAGGCCAGGACACACGGAGCTTGGTCCTTCTTCTTAACGTCAACTGAGAGCTCCCTTTTTATCCCTTGCTTTATCCCTTTTTCATTTTTGGGCTGCCTCATCTCTTGGCTCACACCTTGCTGGGCCGTTGCAGGAAAGGACTGGTGCAATCCGCCAAGGCCAGAGGCCTCAGACGTTTAGATCCAGGGCCTCAAGAAGAGTATGTTTAACCCACCGCCTACCCCCTGCCAGTGCGCACGGGGGGTGCGATCGGCTCCGTTCTCGTGGGTTTCCTAGAAGGGTTGGGGGGGAGGGGGGGTCAGCGTGATTTTTCGGATTTCCGAACCCTCAGACCTGAGTCCGAAATGCAGAGTCCTCCTGGGCACCACGCCAAAAACACGAATTTTGGGGGTGAGGGGGGGGAGAGAGGGGGAGGGGCGGGAAAGGCAACACTGTTCAAAATCAGGATGAAACAGTGCTAATGTTCGGAGGTCAGAACTCTTTGTCCATCAACTGCCAGCGCTAGCCTCCACTACCTTTGCCGAGGCGGTCTCGCGTTAGCGATAAATTAAGTACAAAGTGACTCCCAGACTCTGTGCCGAATTTCCAGAGCGCGTTGAAGCCCTGCAACATCAGGATCGGCAAGCACGTCGGCTTGGCGACACCACCTTCAGCGTGTCACACGCCATCATGCCCTGGAGTGGCTGGACATGGCGGTCCTTGAGAGGGAAGGCAGGTACAAAATACCCAAAAAATGCTTGACAAAACTTCAGCGATCGGGCCGACGAGGATACAAGATGAAACAAGTAGCTAAAGAAGCAAATTGAGAACATAAGATGTCCTGCATGTGGCCTGTGCGAAGCACGAAGCCATCTTCATGACTGCAGGTGTCGACCACGTACATCGAAGAGGCGTACTGCACAATTGCCCAAAGTCACTTTAGCCTAAACGAAGCTTGCATGCCATGTACACAAGCTGCGTATTTTCAAACGCTCAAGAGCGCATGAGCTGATGTCGCAGCCTGGTACCAGCTAGCAATGTTGGAGTTCTGAACCTGAGCAGTCTACGGCGAAAAATACTCAATCACTTTATGCGCAAGATGTGCTGCTGCAGGCCGATGATGTAAAGTCCTACAATTCCCATGCTCTCGCTCCGAGCCCGGGACACACATGCAGAAAGACGTCTGCCAGCCATCCTTCTTTCTCGGCACAACCTGAGCAGCAGAAAGCGACATATTCAGAATGTCCTCAACCAGAGTGTGCTTCTTGCATACCAAGCGTTTCGCAACCTCGTCCTTCAGCCATGAAGATACCGCCTCAAATTTCAAAAGCGCATCGACTTTCAACAAACTCTGCGACCTCGCCCAGTAAGACCTGACAACTCCTGGCCTGAGCCGCAGTGTCGAGGGGCTCATCAGCTACATTTGGGTCATACTCGTAGTCATCCATCACCTTGTGAAATTTTGTAAACCCAGCTGTACAGGGCACAAGTGGTAAGGGCAACAGGGTGGTGCACTGATGCAGCCTGCCTGGGCATTGGCGGATAGAAGAAAGCTGCAGGCAACAGCCTGCTGCAGCAGTTGGGTGACGTAGCAACAGACCCGCACTGAGACAGGAATCTGATAGTCCCAGGGTGAGAGGCTCTAGCTGTGCGGGAAACTGAAGCACTCCGCGATCTCATCTAAGTGCTTGCAGTGCGCTGTAAGTGCCCTGCCGCAGTCCTGAGAAACATCTGATGCCTCATTGACATCTGCCAAAGGATGCTTCTGCAGTGTAAGCAGCACACTCTGAATCAAGCAATGAAGAGCCATAAGGGCTGGACCCTGGAACTTTGCGAGGCATTGGCAGGAGCAGGTGGCGTCAAGGTTTCACCGGGCCAACCACCCTCGGAGCCCAAAAAAACAGTATGCATCAGGTTCTGTCTGTGCAGAAGCCTGGATTGGGAGATAATATGCGATCATGCGCGATCCACCAATTTGGAGAATTTTTGCGGGAGGCATCCTGGGACATGGCTACCTCGCTGAGTGAGACAACGACGGACGTGAAACTGGCAGAGAGGAAATCCAGAAGCATGTTGCATCTCAGCTGCTCTCTGCATCAATTCATCAACTCAGAACCATGTGCGAACATGGAAGCCATAGGTAGTACTTGATGAAAACATGTTTCTTTTCGATCAGGCCATGCTTATTCCTGATCCTCAGCAGCTGCAGCCGCTGCTGCTTCTTCCTCCCGGCACTGTGCACTCTAGGCTTCCATTCGCCTCCGACTGATTACGTAGAACAATGATCTTGGGCTCTTTGGCTTCGCCCCAAATCCGCAAAGTCCAACACAGCCAATTTAACTTCAGGGTAAGTGAGCCTAGCCATGAATCAAGGAAAGCATGAGCCTGCCTTTGCTATGCGTCGCTCGTCATCTTGGACCCTGGCTTCGTGCATGACCTCTCGCAGGAGCCAGAAATGCCGCGCCATGTTCCCAGTGCCACGGAAGGAAGGGCAAGGGGCAAGATCTCAAGCACTCTGCTGAATACACATAAGCTTGAAAGCATCCTCCGAATATCCTCCGGTGTACCAACAAACAGGCGATGGTATCATCACAGGACAGGTTCCGGTGCAAAAAGCTATTTCTGAGGCATCGGTCGGCATTTGACTACATGTGAACGGCACTTCACCAAAACTCGCAACTCTCAGCAAAGGCACGAAGCCAAGTTATGTGAATTTGTTAGCCCGAGGCATCAAGTCTGCGCTCGCTTGTCGTTAACGGGGAGAAAGGCTTTACATGACGCCCAACGGGCGTCCGGTACAGCATCTGCAGTGATGCAGGAACTTGATGACGCAGCCAACGTTTTGGGGGTAGCTGCCCATGTGAAGTTCATTTCGCGCTGCTTGCCCAGTCTGAGAGACATGGGCGTTGCCCAATATTACTTCATAACAACATGACCTCTTCGCGGAAATCCAAAGTTCCTTTCGCGCATCTTTCGCGCACCCCATCGCGAGC